AGGTTGATGTTTTGCGCTATCTCCCGCCGAATCAAGATAGTGCTGAGTTAGTTTTCCGAATTTTTGGACGGGGAAGAATGGTAGTTGCATGGAGTTGTGCATCTTGTAGCGTTTTTACTGAAGTTTCTATGGTACCAGCAGACAGATTTATTACGTTGAGGAGTTGCGTCACGGTTCTGATATTGGTAAAGTCGAGAACCAGATTTCGAACGGGAGCGTAAAGATGAAATTTGGTTGGTTAGTTCGGTGATTTGGTTTTCTAGGCGAGATAATCTATCAGGTTGTGAGCTTGTTGATGTTTCGCCTTTCAAGGAATACATGTGCTGAGAATGTGTGGGAGAGTACTCCATGATTTTATCAGCCATGGTTGCTAGATTGTCTAGAGAGTCGGAGCTAGATGCTAATATTGAGCTGATCTGAGGGGGAAGACGTTTAAAAAATAATGTTTTTAGGAAATCGTCTTTAACTTGGGAACCTGCAAGAGTACGCATTTCCCTAAGAAACTGGGAAGGTTTTTTCGAACCAATTTCTAGTTCGTCAACCAGTTTAGTGAATTTTCTGCTCTCTGATTCTTCGAATTCAGAGATCAGGCGATTACAAAGGTCTTGATAAGGTGTTTGGCTAAGTGGTTTCTCTAAAAGATCTGAAAGCAATTCGGCAACATCGGTATCAAGATTTTCAAGAATGTGGTAATATTTTGTTCGTTCTTGAGTGATATTTTTTACAATGAATTGTGCCTCAACTTGACGTAACCAGACCTTGACATTTTTCCTCCAAAAGGGCGGAATTTTGACTGTTAATTTCGAGAGATTATTTGAATTGGTTGGTAAATTGGGATCAGTGACATTTTCTTCAGTGTCTGACATTTTTAGGTCTAAACTAACCTGGTTTTGTTCTGACTGACGAAAGTTGAGGTTTCTTGGAGATGCTGTCCTGTCCTTGAAGGATTTACTTTTATGTTGCTTCAATTATCACGTCGTTGGTCACCAGTGTGGTTAATGATGATGTACAATGATTAATAAAATAATATAATTAGTATTTTAGAGGATTTATTGTCTGGACAAAAAGTACAAGATCAAAAGAAAGAAAAAGGTAAACAAGAAAAGTAAATATTAGTTAACAATAATTGCTAACATGTGTTTTAAGTTCAAATCAATTGAATACTGACAGATGGTTAGGTACAGCCACAAAACTACCTCAACCTCACTACTGCACACTTTATTCGGGTTGAAATGTTCAATGACAAAGGTGCTCTTGTCTTTTCCAAGAAACACTGAGAAATAAGGACATTAATGCGTTACCAACAGACATACACACACAATAGCAGAATTGAATTAGGGGATTTGCTACGCTTTAACCAAAGCAAATTACAAACAAAATAATTATTTGAAAGTTTTGATAGTGTCATCAAATGTTATGATAATCGTTTTAGGCCTAATCAAACTGTAAAATTTGTGTAAATCCGTTGGTAAATATATAAATAAGTAAATAAATACACAGTCCACAAAAAATTTATTCGTTAACAACGCCAAGCTTTAAAAATTCATGATGGTTTGCAAAAAAATCTTTCAATAGGCTAATGTTTTATCATTTCATAGCATAAACTAACATTTTGGAGTCCAGACAGAAAACGCAAAAATTATACAGTAGGACATCAATTAAATTTAATCGATTTAATTTAATTGAGTGCAGCAATAACGATAACTATAGTTGTAAATAGTGATGTGTTTCTACATAAAAATGATTCTTACTGCTACCACCGGTTCTAAGGAAAAGTAGCAGTACCATAAACCAACGTTTACATTTAAGAAAAGAACTATAGTACTTACAACCAATTCAAACTGTCCTTCTAATCAAACTGTTTTATATAGATGTTAATCCGTTGACAAATATAAAAATAAATAAATACACAGGCCACAAAACATATAACATGTAACGTTAACAACGTAAAGCATTAAAACTCACTATGGTTTGCTAAAAAAAACTTTCACTTGATGTGGTGCAGTACCGAAGTTATTAATCTCCCTTGGTTTTAAATGTTTTTTAAGTTTTCGAGAATCAAAGCTATTTCCCAATAATAGCATTATTTGTAAGCAACTTTCAATGTTAACATATTAATGACAGTTTGAAGAAACCACCTTTATCCAAACAAAGGTTTCTTATGTAAAAGATTACGTAATCTCTCTCTAAACGATAATTGGTACATATATCTAGCAAACATTCGGAGGAAATGCGACAAAAAACGCACAAATCTGGGGGTTTGGACGTTTGTAGTTTTACTTCCTAAGTAGGAAAAGTACCGATATCGTTGTCGAAATGTAAGTAGTAAAAACCAAAAGTGACACATTGGAAAAGCGAGTTTAGCTACATCTGTAAGTTAAACCTCTGTTACGATCGCAGCAAAATCAGAAAGATCTTCCAAGATCGCAGCAACATCCACGATCACCCAGTCACCCACTGCAGTTGTGATTTTTTACTTTGCACTTACCACAACTGTCCTTGAAGCGCCGTCAATGAGTGGAAACCTTTTTTGTATGGCACAACGTTTTTAATCTCACTTGGTTTGGATGTGCTAATAAAACTTTATCGGAAATGGTTGCGGTATTTGTAAACAAATTTTACTGTAAACACTGAAGAAGTAGGTTCTTCTTTAACTATTTTTGTTACTTTTATGATAAAATTATTCAACTGATAGAAAATAGAATTTAATAAGCATGACAAAAACATAAGTGTATGAATTATAAAAACCAGGAATGAACTAATTTGGTAACTATGGAAACTTATTAAAGTAAACAAAAACAAAATTTAAACTATTTAAAAAAAAACAAATCATTGTCCAGCTGGTTGTGAACAGTCAGGTGCACTCACCACATCAGTGACAGCTAGAAGTGATAACTAATCCAAACAGCTGATCGTTATTTCATCAAATGTAATAGTAAACATTAGGAGAAAATTTGACAAAAATCGAACAAAATTGGGTTTTTGATAACACGTTATTTTGTTTACAAAGAAGCGAGGCCAGGTTTTTATAGCCAAAGACACTCTCACCAATCCAGTAAATACAGACAAATGATTAGAACCTTGATCGGTACTCTAGTTTTCTAGGAGTAGGCCGCGTAAAATGACATTTTGGCGTTACAGACGCAACCACAGAATGGACAAACAGACAAACAGACAGACATACAGACAGAAATTGAGATAAGACTCGTTTCTGCTTTCTTAGGCTATGAAACGTAAAAATAACCAAAAACTGCATGATTCTAAGCAATGTACAGACAAAACTGTAATTTTATTTATATAGATAATATAATGACACTTTCAAGTATTTATATTTTTAATAATTTAGTCTATGTTAAACAAAACATTACAAATTTTACTAAATGTCACTGGATACATAACCACTCAACTAGACAATCAAACAACATGTACATCCCACCAGTTAGACTTTCAAAATTCACAAAAAGGCATAAATATTTACAACTACAACTTTTCAATAAACTTCCCATTCCATTTAGAGAAATTGATAACATAACCCTTTTCAAATCAACATTATCAAGATGGCTAATTAGCAAAGCCTTTTTTTCTATAGACGATTTTTTAAACACAAATAATTACTCTTAACACTATTGGCCACTAGGAGGCAGCCTGCATGACCAAAAATCTTTTTACAAGTTTCCTGAATATTTACAAATTGTTTAGTTTTGAAGTATTATTTACTTAAGTTTTTTATAAATTTGTGTAAGAGCATTCAATCTTAGAATTTTAAATTTAAATATTAGGCCTGTAAGTACAGTTTATGCAACAAAATGTTCAATGCTTCATAAGATGATATAGATTTAAGCATGATGTCATAATTGTGTCCTGACTTCTGACGTTGTCTCTTGTAATTTTATGTTGCTGAATGACAATAAAGATTATTATTATTATTATTATTATTATTATTAATCCAATCCTATTGGATTTTAAAGGTTACTTTAATTATTAAATTGCTGGAAAGGCCCTACAATTAGTTTGTAAGAAAATACTTGATCTGAGAGGAAATTTACAAAAGTTTCTTAGTTTCAATAGATTAACATTGTTCTTTAAAACAACTTTGTGTTAAATTCTATCCTAGACAATATTGAAACCATTTGCATAATTTCTTGTAGTAAATACCCCCGCCGCAGCAAACCTGCAGACTAAGCAAATTTCCGTTTACCCGTCTTGATTTTTAGTAAAATATTCCCTAAAAATGGTCAGATTTATTTCCTTAATAAAATTAATTTTAGTGAGTACTTAGGTTTTATGCTACAAGAAAGATATTGAGATGTGTTTTTTAATAGAAGTATTGATAGCTTAGTATGAAATAAACAAAAGTGCCAAATTTGATTAAAATATATCCATATAAACAAGCAAGCTACAACAGTTTATTTATTCTCCATAAGAATAATATGGGAATTTTAAATTTACAATTTTTAAAATTATCTACATAACCGTTGGGCAAAAAACAACGCTTCAAAATACAAAATTATTTCTTTTTTTAAGCTCTACACATTGGTTTGGAGAGAAATTATGAAATTTTGTGTTTTTAGGGTGAAAAATGGGAAAAATCAATTTTGATGCCATTAAACTCCCCATAAACCCCCGTTCCCATAGTCCGATAATGCTGGTTCGTGAACTCGTTCGAATAAACAAACGTTTACACGTTTCGACGTTTTAACATGTTTCATCAAAATCGGATCATTTTTGCTCGAGTTATTGCGCTAACGCACATAATATATATATATATAGATATATATGAATTTGAACGGATGGTGTTTTTGGCCTCTGGATACCTCAAAACGAAAAAGTAAATCGGTCCCAGGTCTAGGTATTACCATGAGACCTACGGTAATAGCTTATTCCCTATATAAAAAATTCTCTAGAATGAAAAAACCGAGCAAACCATTAAACAAATTGACTCAAAATTGTTACACACAAATTTACAGTTTAATCTACAGATTTTTTTCAAAATAACTTACGAAGCAGGAGAGAAACTCGCAGGGGAAAACGTCCCTCGAGATACAGGTGTAGACAACATCCTTGCCAGGAATCCATCACCAGTTCCCTGCAACATACAGAGCTGTGAGAATAACGTTAGAGAGTGAACACTGGCTAAGTATGAAGTGACCTAACCAAGCAACACTGGTTTCTCATACGTCTTACAACAAGTGTCGGGTCAGGTTCATAATGTTGGCTCACACCATTTAAGCATACGGAAACGTCAAAAATGGTACCAATAGTTAGTGAAAAAAAATCCCCATCATTAGTTTTATTTTGGTTCAAAAGTGTTATTATTAAAATACCCCCGCCGCAGCAAACCTGCAGACTTTGTGAATTTCAACTTGTCTGATTACATTTTGACTCAAATATTTCCATGAAAAAGATAAATTTATTCCCAATTTAAATAACATTACATTTAACAATTGCTTAGGTTTGCTGTTACGAGGAAGGTAAAAAGTGTTTTTTGACCATAGGTAGTACGTAGGATACGAAGATAACAGTATAGGATGAAATAAATAAATTTGCCAAATTTGATCAACATATATCCATAAACAAGTAAACTACAACAGTTTTAATTTTCTCCTTAAGAATAACATAGGAATTTTAAATTACACTTTTTTAGAATTTTCTCCGTGACCGTCAGGCATACAACAGAGCTTCAATATAGGCCTACTAAATTATTTCTTTTTTTAAGCTCTATAAAATGGTTGAGAAAGAAATTGCAAATTTTTTTTGTTTTTAGGGTTAAAATGGGAAAACCCCATTTTTACCCCATAAGACCCCCCTGGTCCGATTATGCCGGTACGCGAACTCGTTCGAATAAACATATGTTTACACGTTTGTACCAAATTTCATCAAAATCGGATAATTTTTGCTCGAGTTATCGCGCTAACGGACACACACACACACACATATATATATCTATATAAATAAAATTATAGTTTTGTCTGTACATTGCTCGGAATCGTGAATTTTTAGGTTATTTTTACGTTTTATACAATAAAGAAGCTGAAACAAGTCTCATCTCAATTTCTGTCTGTCTGTTACGGCCCAAGAGCCATTTTACGCGGCTTTCTCCTGAAAAACTAGAGTACCTATCAAGATCCAAATCATTTTAATATAATAATTGGATTGGCAAAAGTGTCTTTAGCTATTAAAGTATGGCCTCACTACTTTTTAAATAAAATTACGGACGTTTAAAAGCCCAATTTTGTGAGATTTTTGTCAAGTTTTCTCCCAATGTGCATCACATAATCATCTATGAAATAACGAACAGCTGTTCGGATCAAGATTACTTTTTCTAACTGTCACTGATATGTTTACATTGAATGTTGTTTGCAAATACCGCAACCATTTCCGATCACGTTTTGAAAGCAAATCCAAACCAAGTGAGATTAAAAACGTTTTTCCTTACATAACGGATTTAATTAATCGCAAGTGCAATAATGTGTAGGGTAACCGTAAATGAAAATAGAGATTCTTTGTGTATAAAATTGTTCTTGAGTTTTGATAACCGGGAAAAAGACCTTGAATCAGTAAATGTATATGGCTGGGAAACTTACATTTTTTAAATAAGCGTTACCAATAGCTTACAAAAAAGGTTTCAACTCATTGACGGCACTTCAATGGCGGTTGTGTAAAGTGTAAAGTGACAACTGCAGTGGGTGATTGTAACAGAGGTTTACGGATTATGCTCAACTCGCTTTTCCAATGTGTCTTCTCTCCGCTATGTGCTGCAATCGCTGGACCATACAGCCAATAGGATAGTTGCCCATCTCTTGAGTTCTTAGGCCTAAACAATTATTCATAACCAAATTTTGACGACGATCCTTGATACCGGTACTTTTACTTAGAATACATGGCCTACCTACTTGTTTACAAATAATGCAAATAATAGGAGAGAAATAACTTTGATTTTCGCTAACTTTTTGTGAGATAATCCAAGGCCAATAGAGATCAATAACCTCGGGACTTGATTTACGCATTTAGTTGGTCGGATGTACTATAGTTCTTAACTGTAAACCTTGGTTTTTGGTAGGCCTACTGGTTCTTTTCCTTAGAACTGGTGGTAGCAGCACGACTAATTTTGACGTACCAACACATCACTATTTTACAAATTAGTTATCGTTGGTGTTGCACCTTATTTATTACTTATAATAAATTTTATATTATTTATAAAAGCATTGGTGAATTTCCCAACTAGAATTTTCAAAACAAAGAAGAGTGCAATTGATTGAGCGGAGCGAAGCGAATCGAGCGAAGCTCTTATACTACACTCCTGCTTTTGTTTTACAAATACTCCTACTAAACGGCTGAAGCGATCTGCATGAAATTTAGCACAGTCATAGTAATCAACCATGGGAAGGTATAAATCTGAAATGGTACAAATCGGACCACAGGGCTTTTCCCTATGTGAATTTAAGCTTTTAGAAATTTAACATGGGCTTTATGGGTTAATTGGTTGCCATGACAGTATTTGCAAGATAACAATAAAAAGGTAAACAAAAGTTGTAACATGTTTACCAATAAATCATCTAAACTAGCACATTTGCAAAATAGAGAACAAAAGGGAAGAACAATCGGATTAATACCGTTGAGCATTATTTGCTACGAAATGTATAACCAATAAGGATTATGAACCATTGGCTTTTGATGTTACAAGTAGACATTTTTCATTTACGTGAACCAGGCGTACAATTTACTTTGAATACTGCACATACTGTACATAAGGATACCAAATTATGTGAACCAAATATATCATAAACTTTGGATACATCAATTAGACATTACATTAACGTCAACCAGATGCATTATTGACTTTAGATACTGGAAGTATAGATATCCCATTTACAAGAAACAGAGACATTGACTTTGGATACTTCAAGTAGACATTTAATATATGTAAACCAGATGAACTGTTGACTTTGATACTGCAAGTAGACATCCGATTTACGTGAACCAAATGTATCATTAACTTTGGATAGGTACTGCAAGTAGACATTCCATTAACTTGAACCAGACGTGAATTGACTTTAGATACTGCAAGTAGACATGTAATTTATGAGAACCAGAAGAACGATTGACTTTAGATACTGCAAGTAGACATTTCATTTACGTGAACCAAATGTACCATTGACTTTGGATACTGCAAGTAGACATTCCATTTACTTGAACCAAATGTGCCATTTGCATTGGATACATCAATAGACATTTAATTTATAAGAACAGAAAGACCATTGACTTTAGATACTGCAAGTAGACATCTCATTAAAGTGAACCAACTGTACCATTGACTTTGGATACTGCAAGTAGACTAGACATCCCGTTTACGTGATATAAATGCATCATTGGCATTGGATTGAATTTGGACACTGTAAGTATACTTCCCCTTTACGTATAACAAATGTAGCATTAACATTGGGTTCTGCAAGTAAACATTCCATTATTTATGTGAACCAAACGTACCATTGATTAAGGATTCGACCAGGAGACGTCTCATTCACGTGAACTAGATTTAGCATTGACTTTGAATACAGTAAGTAGACATTCCAATTACATATAACAGACGTAGCATTGACTTTGTTGAAATTGATTAATATACTTTTGCTCCGCTCAATATTGCAAGCATACAACTGCATTGCACACCTAGTAATGTTTTTACTAATATAGCCAAGAGCAAAATACAAGTTTCAGGAATAATTACTGAATTGTCTGACCATGATGCTCAGCTGTGTGTAATTACTGATAACAGTATAGTGGTTTCAAAAACCCCAAAAATAATTGTAACATACCGTAGGAAATTTACTGATGATAGCATTGCTCAGTTTTGTAAACTCTTAGAAAGTGAAAACTGGATCAATGTGTTTAATGCACCTGTTAATAATAAGTTTGACATTTTCTTTGATATAATTAATTATGATTTTGATGTTTGTTTTCCTAAGCTTAAAAGTAGATTAACCAGAGGAAATAGTAATTGGATTACAGATGATATTATAAATAAAATAATAGATGTTTTAGATTTGAGTAATACTGGAATGTTAAAGATAAATCATTTCAAAATATTCTGATAAAAAAAAGAAAGAACTAAAAAAAGAAGTCATTGAAACTAAATGTAATTATTATCATAACTTATTGGAAAAATCACGAAATGTCAGTAAAACTACATGGGATATTGTAAATAGTAGAAGTTGGAGCAAATCATAAATCAAGCCATGTTGAAAGTTTAAGCTTACCATCCATATATTAAAGCCAATAAATGCAGAGACGTTAAAGATGTCTGTCATCTCTTCAATGATTACTATACAATGATGGTTGAAATTGACATATTGCCCAAACCAAAGATTACTTATGCTACGCAAAATAGATATTGCACCTTACGGCAATTTTGTGCCAAGTCGTTTTTGGATGGGGCCACCTTCACGTAGTTGGATGGTCCCTTGACAGAGGCGCTGTGTCAAGTCTTGATCTGCATTACCATTCAAGTTCGGTTAACGCGCTCGCCGACCCGTCGTCATCGTATCTTTAGTTTGAAAGCGCACAGCTGTCATTAATTAATGTAGGCCCTACCTTAATTAATGCACCTTGTCCTTTTACAAAAATGGCAGTTATTTAATTTAAAATTAAAGTGACCACGTAACAAAGAGCTTAAGGATAGTAAAGGTTTACTGATATAAATATGAATTAATAAAACTCTTCAAAATTGCAGTCACAGTGATATAATAAGCTTACAATGTTATACTAGTTTTTCTGCATTGAATTTTAACGTACATTTAAAGAACTCTTTAACAATTTAGAAATTTATAAATCTTACAAGTTTTAATAATTCGTGACTATTTGTGAGTTCGTCGACTTTTCTGTTTTTGGAATTTTATCCACAAAGTTTGCTTCCAGATTTCTAGACTCACGCAATATCTTGCTACTATAGTGGAATAGATTACAGAATAGGACTGGCATTTGAAGAGGTAGGGGATGCGACGTTGCCACTTTGTTCTTGGCCGGTGAGCTGACTTTCACCTAGAGCCCGGCACCCCCCTCTATCGTCCCACTTGTAGGGTAGTTCAGTTC